ATTTAAAAGCCTCACCAGTGACGTAGTCGGTAAAGTTGGTGACCATCTCCCGTTCCGACCATGATGCAGCGGTAGCGTGGAGCTCGAACAGGTCGAACCACTCCTGTACAGGTCCATCGTCCGCTGCTCCGGTGTACTTGGGGATGGGAAGGTCGGTCGATGATTCCGTCATGATGCTCGTCGATGTGTACTGTTAGATGCTGGTTTGGTAGTTCACTTATGGTCAGGGTGTCTTGCGGAGAACCTTGTCGATGATTTGCGACTGATGAAGGGGCCGCCAGGTCTTCATCCTGTCGACTCGTGTGACGCTACGATGACTGGGTGACGTGGCTGGCTCATACGCCATGTTTATTTCTATCTCTGTGACTTCTTCTTCCTCGGCTTCTACCAACAATCGCTTCATACGTCATATATATATATATTTATATATATATATATATATATATATATATATATATATATATATATAAGGAAAAGAAGTGTATACCCAAGGGCTCGTTTTTCCGTGTTTTGACACAATAATAATGAGATCTAACAGACAATAATGCCAAGGAATGTATAGGGGAAGTTATTAGAACGAATGGAATGTAAATAAGAAGAAAGAAAAGTGGGTGGAAAAAAAATATATATATATATGTAAGCACTGTCACAGGTGAAGAGGAAGCCAAAGGACAGCAAAAGACGAAGACGATGTTCTCTGTTATCTGCGTGTACTTGGAAGCCTTTGGTTCGTCTGCTCAAGACGATAATGATAATGCATTCGAAGAAACGTCACCAACCGTGCCTCGGCCTTCCAGGCCAGCCACTCCGCGACACGCCGCAACCGTCGGCCTGACTAAACCAAGCAACCCAGGCACCTTTCCGGCACTTAAAACACAGATGTTGAGGCTAGGCTTCAGCTCTGCGAACGGTTGAGCGCTCTGTATAAGGGAGACCCGGCACTGATGCTGACAACTTTCCCTTTAATCACCCGCAAGTCGTGATTTGTGTCAAACTACTTTCGACAGCACAATCGTGAGTGTCCCTTCTCTGTCCGTATCTAACCCGTTGCGCTGTAAATATTCAACGATGTACTTTAGAAAGCATGACCAAAATGATCGCATCAGACCTCTCGGCTGAACATGTGCACGCTCTTCGTGACCTTCTCGTTTCATAACAAGACATTTGTGACCTTAATGACCTACAACTGGGCCAGACCACAACTGTGAAGCATTGGATCATCACCGATGATGCTAACTCGATATACCGATGGCCCTATTGTGTTTCTTCGACGGAGCGTCAAGTCATACAAAAAGATGTGGACAAAATGCTGCACCGGAGCATCATTTAGCATTATTCAAGCCCTTAAGCTTCCCCTGTCAGGCTTGTCAGAAATAGGGACAATAGCTGGCGTTTTTATGGTTTTAACGAAATCTCAACAAGGTGACAAAAAAGACGTGTACCTCCTACCACGCACACGAAGTATTAAATGCACCTGGGTCATATTAAATGCACCGAAGTATTAAATGCACCGAGACAGTCAAGGGCCTAATCTGTGCGCTGCACGCACAGATTAGGCCCTTGACTGTCTCGGTGGTGCAAAGTATTTCTCTTCGATAGATCTTCGTTCGGGGTACTGGCAGTTGCACTTGATGGCATAGACCGTAAAAATGCCACATATATAACACCTGCTAGCCTTTATAAGTTATGCAACGCCCCCGGCTACATTCTAACGAATAATTGACGCTCTACAGTAGGTTTTAAGTGGTGAATATGCTTATGCTACCTTCATGACGTTGTTGTCTTTTCGCCGACTTTTCAGACGCACCTCGAGCGCCTCTCACAATTGTGTCTGCTTCTCAAAAGGCAGAGCTTCAGCTCTACTCATTTAAGTGTCAGTTAAATGAGTTGAGCTTACTGTCTTCGGTCACCTTGTCAATTCTTCTGGTGTTCGTCCCGATTTCGACAAATTGCGGCGTGTAGTCAAAGATTTCCCTGTGTACACCTATGCCAACGATGTTCTAAGCTTTGTAGGCATATGCACCTACTTTCGAAGATTTGTGCGCAATTTCGCCGGCATTACACGCCCTCTAAGTGAAACTCTGAAGAAGCATGTTGGTTTTTGTCCGGCGTCCTCAACAAGCCAATGCGTTTCCTCAACTGACCATGCACCTGACGTCGCCGTCAATTTTTGGCCACTTCAATATATTTGCTCCAACAGTATTGAGCACCAACGCCAGCGGCCATGGCAATGGCGCTGTTTCGGCTCAACAACAGGATGGTGGTCACCGTGTCATTTCATATGCTAGCCGTCTTCTATCACCAGCGTAGCGAAGTTATTCTATCGCTGCACGCGAATGCCTCGCGCTGGTTTGGGCCATGCGCGAATTTCATCCATATTTTGTGGACGGTCATTCATCGTTATCACGCACCACCACGCCTTGGGCTGCCTGTATTCGTTGAACGGTTCTACCGAGCGGCTTGGACGAGGGGGGGGGGGGGGGACCTTGCGGCTACAAGATTACTTATTCACCGTCGTCTATAAGATTAGCCGCCCACCCAGGAGCCTTGTTGTTTGTGTCGTCACCCAGTGGATCAACGAGATCTCCTTGAAAACGCAGAGTCCACGTGGGTGCTGGTGCTTTCAGCATTGGTAAACATCAGAGATGAGCGACGCCGTGATCCTCACTTGATAGATAATCTACCAGCTGAGTGACCTCACTATTCCTCCATCGCTTCATATGTTTTGGCTCCATGACGGCGTTCTATACCATTACAACATGCATCCTGATGGTCCTGACTAGTTGCTGCTCGTGCCTACCCACATGCATCAGACTGTTTTCAAGCAGTTACATGACATTCCTACCGTTGGTCACCTAGGCATCTCATGTACGTACGAGCGTGCTCTACATCGCTTCTTTTGGCCCGGTACATACCGATTCGTTCGTCATTACGTAGCTTCGTGCAAATCGTGCCAGCAGCTCGAAACACCGGCCTTTCTTATAGCAGGATGCCTTCAATGCATATAGATACCATCTAAGCAATTTTATAGGGTTAGGTTTGACCTCATTCGTCCTTTTCTTTTATTCATCAGAGGAAACAAGTGGGCAGCTTTTGTCACCGGTTACGCGACTCGGTATGCAATCGCACGGTCTATCCTCACCAATTGTACCACCGACGTCACTAACTTTCTCCTCTAAGATGGCCCACTTTGTCATGGCGCTCCTGGGCAGTTTATAACACACCGGGGTCAATGTTTTCTATCAATGGTGGTTAAGGATATCCTACACTCTTGCGCTACCAAACACAAGTTCACCACTGCATATCACTCGCAGACCAACGGCCTAACAGCGTGAGCAGAACGCTTACGGACACGCTCGCCATGTATGTTTCACCAGATCATCGTGACTAGAACGAAGCTTTAGCGTTCATAACATTTACCTACATTACGTCTCAACCTGACTGTACAAATTTTTCTCCATTTTTTCTGTTGTACGGACGAGAACCCACGCTACCTTTCGACGCGCTCCTTCCGTCCATTGTTAAAACAGCAACAGAGTACGCTCGTGATGCCAACGCTATAGAGCTGCAGAGGGACGTGAAGGTGCCCGCCTTCGTCTTAACACTGCGCAAGAGACGCAACGAACCATCAACAATACACGCCACTAGGATGTCCACTTCAATACTGGTGATATGGTTCTTCTTCGGACACTGTCATGGCGATGTGATTCTTGCGAGAAGTTGACTTCTCCATACCCTGGTCCATATCGAATTTTGCGCCAAGTCACGAACGTCACGCCAGGCACACAATCTCTGTCTTGTGTGCCGGGCGTCTGTAAATATATTCTGCAACGCCTTCTCTCCCCGTTAATATATATATATATATATATATATATATATATATATATATATATATATATATATATATATATATATATATATATATATATTATATATATATATATATATATATATATATATATATATATGAGCTCGCCCCGCTGCGGTGGTCTAGGCTAAGGTACTCGGCTGCTGACCCGCAGGTCGCGGGATCGAATCCTGGCTGCAGCGGCTGCATTTCCAATGGAGGTGATAATGTTGTAGGCCCATGTACTAGGATTTGGGTGCACGTTAAAGCACCTCCGGTGGTCGAAATTTCCGGAGCCCTCCAGTACGGTGTCTATCATATATGGTGGTTTTGGAACGTTAAACCTCACATATCAATCAATCAATATATATAAGATCTAACAGACAATAATGCAAAAAAGTGTAGAATGTATAGGGGAAGTTATTAGTACTAATGTAATAAAAATGAGAAGAAAGAAAAGTGGGTGAAAAAATCACTTGCTGTAAGAAGGCATCGAACCTACGAGCTTCAAATAACGCGTTCGATGCTCTACCACTGAGCTATTATGGTGGCTTTATTGGGTTTATATGTGAATTTTGAACGTAGGAGTGTCAGTCAGCGCCACCTGTAGCCATGGCGGCGAGTGTGGAATACCATTTTATGAGCCTGTATGGCGTCACGTAGCACGTGAACCTATTACGAGCTGACAGCTGAACCATTAGTCTCTCGTATAACTTTCTCTATAATTCCTTGGCATTATTGTCTGTTAGATCTCATAATATTGAGTCAAAACACGGAAAAACGAGCCCTTAGGTATACACTTCTTTCCCATATATATATATATATATAGAGAGAGAGAGAGAGAGACAGAGAGAGAGAGAGAAAATGCAAACTGTTAAATTGCCATTTGTACTTGTGCTGCAGAATTTTCTGTAGTTTCTTTTTCATATCTCCAACAATGAGGTTTTATTTGGAACAGTGTACGTGCAAGTGATTGCCGTGTCGGAGGGGCAAACTTATTCATCGATGAGCTCACGGAAAATTTGCCTTCATTCTTGCGACATTACAAAGTGAATTCACGTCGCACGCCTCTTAAGGATTAGGAAGTCTCTCTAACAAGCTTTTTTACATGTATAACTAGCTTGTAATTAGCAAATTTGTTTTTTTTCTGCAGTTACGGCTTTCTTGAATTGTACTCAAACGAAAGCTACTCGGACCGAGACCAAGCGTTCAACGCTGGCATCTTCGAGGGTTACGCAACGGCGGACAGGGCAATCATGCACTACGACAATTTGTGGAAACAGTACTGCGCTCATCAAGTCGACAGCTGTGTGAAACTCTTCCAATTCATTGGCGCTACGCTGAACTACATGCAGCAGCAGGCTACAGAGCTTGCAGTCAAGGACCCCTACTGGCATCAGGTAGAGATATTTTCTTCATAATCAAAAATTCAGTTTTCTTGATAAGCGTGTGCCTGTCTGGGCGAAACACTGGCTCCAGTTCTCGGATGTATGACCCAAGTGATGATGATAATCTTTGCCGTTTTACGGCCGAAGCATCAATTGATGACTAAAGAGTGCCATTTCAGCAGACAATACATGTGGATAATAATATAGTACGTAGCTGTACAGAGGTTTTAAAATGCCTCACATTAACGTGCGTAAAAACACAGAAATAGTAAAACATTTACAGTAATGTGTAAAATCTGGAGTGAGAGTGAATGGCAAAAGGTCGTGATAGTATAACCTTAGTGGGGTTTAGTCCCCTAAGCCACGACCTCAGTACAGAGGTTGTGCTACGGATCACTTCGAATAATAAAGTGAAAACTATGTACATTTAAAACGTTAAACGTGATGGAATATCAAAAAGTGGATTGCTAATGATAAGCATGACAGGGTGTAGTGGGAGCTGCTATCGATAGGACAGTAGAAAGCACGTTTTTCTTAGAGCATCTAACTCACTGCAGTTTATGAGTATGTGGAGAACCGTGAGTGCTTCTCCAAATCTCTCACCTAATTGTTGATCACCACCGGACAAAAGCTCTGCGTGTGTTGCAGTTCTTCTGTGTGTATGTGCTGTTTTTAGCATTGCAAGTTTTACTTCAGTGTCTCGTGGTTTCGATAGTGGCGGCCAATTACCTTGTTCCGGCTTAATAACATGGAGTTTATTGTCTGTGTGTTTGTCCCATGTGCTCTGCCAATAGCGCCTGAACTTTGGTTTTAAAAAATGTTTCAAGTGAAGTGTAGAAATTGAGATTGGTGCATTGGCAGCAGTGGCGTAGGCGGCTGCAGCTAGCTTGTCCACCAAAAATTCTCCTTGTATCTCACGGTGTCCTGGCTCACAGCAGACAACGACATGCAGTTTGGATGTGCAACTGTGCATAAAAAATAGTTTGGCGAGAATAGGATGGGGTTTTTGTGTTTATTAAGTTTCAGAGCTTTTACCACATAGAGTGAATCTGTGTATATTACCGCATTTTGCACCGGCGCGGTGGTCTACTGGCTAAAGTACTCGGCTGCTGACCCAAAGGTGACCAGATAGAATGCCGCCTGCGGCGGCTTGATTTTCGATGGAGTCGAAAATGCTCTAAGGTCGTATGCTCACAATTGGGTGCTCGTAAAGAAACCCCGGTGGTTGAAATTTTCAGAGCCCTCCATTATGGTGCCCTTATACTGATATGGTCGTCTTTGGGACGTTAAACACCACGTATCAAACAATCATTATTCGCATTTTCTAGTTTCATCTGTTAGATGTGTTTTATAACCGCCAGGATTGCATAAGCTTTCCCTGTGAAAATGCTTGTATGAGAATGGAAAACACCCAGCTCAGGAAAGTATTGGCTTGCGGTTGCATGCGACACAGAAGTATTAGACTCAGAGCCATCGGTAAAGAACTCATGACATGTGTATTTCTTTTGCTGTTCGAGGAAGTATATATAGATGTGTTCAAGTGGCACATGCTTTGCGACCTTCAGAAAAGAGATATCGCCGTCGATAATCAGCCACTGCCGTTGTGGCAGATATGCAGCAGGAGCCACCAAACCACGTTCGTGAAGTGGCACACCTGTTTCATCGGCGATTCCCCTGACAAAGAAGTAGGGATGCCTCAATGAAGGAGGGTTCTGGAACAGGCCAGAATTAGACAAATTATTATTTGTGACACGAGAGACCTGTTTTTTGTCTACTTTCACCTTCAAAAAGTACATGAAAAACACGCAACATCTCTGAGGTGGAGCGAACATTCATTCAAATAACCATACAGGTTTTCCACGGCGCTAGTGCGAAAAGCGCCCACAGAAAGGCGAATGCTGAAATGGTGAACAGGGTCCAGCAATTTCAAAACAATTGGTGTCCCAAAGTGATAAACAATGGCCTCATAGCCTATGCGAGTTCGAATAAGGCTTTTTTTGAAGCTTCACTAAGCACTTCTTGTCACTACCCCACGTAGATTGAGATGGCACTTTCAGAATATTCATGGTTTTAGACATGTATTTTTGATAAGCTTAATGCGTGGTATGAAGGTTAGTTTCAAATCTAATAGTATGCCCAGAATAATATGCTAAGATTTTACAGGCAGACGCTGACTATGCAGGTTCATGCCAGCGTCTGAGTGAAGGCCCCTCCTTCTGGAGAATAGTATAAAACTGTTCTACTGTACGTTCAGTTTAAACCCATTTTTTTCTGCCCATTTTGATGTATTCTTGCGACCTAATGGTACCTGGCGTCCCCATATGAAAAGGTTAGACGACTTAAAACCGACTTGTGCATCGTCAACATATTGCGACCTGGTGTTCGGCGCCAGCGAACAGCTCGCTCGAGCGCTGCTTGTTCGTTTCATAAGGTGTTGGACTGATGTATACGCTGCGGAAAGGCGCTTCAGCAGTGCCAATGGCCTCAGCAGAAAAACACTCGGTGACATTGGCGACTGGGTCGACGTAGGCGATGGCGCTTCCAGGGAAGAGGTGCCAGTGCTCGTAGCTGAAGTTTGTGACAAGGACGCCACAGTGATCATCACGACGGTCAACAAGGTTACTCGCTACGCAAACACCCTAAGACCGCAGAAGAGAGTAATTGGTTTCCACGATTGCTTCACCGTGCATCACTCTGTGACATACCACCTGAACCACAACAGTTGCACGGGGAGGTAACGTGACAGCGTCGTCGACGACGCGAAGAGATACTCGGGAGTGACTAGAGTCCGCGTAAGCTGTTGTGGCGTTTGTAGTCGCGAAAGTGACTAGGCGTAATTTAACGTCCAATATAGCACCTTGCTTCCTCAGAAAATCTATGCCAATAATCACGCCTCGACAACACTGCCGGAGAACGCTCAAACTGGCAGCAAACGTATAGCCACGGACTTGCAATCTTCCACATACAGAGTGACATGACGATATGCCCGCCAGCTGCACCAATTGGCGTTCTGTTCCAAGGCATCGTTACTTTATTCAGAAGGACGGCCAGTTTTTCGCTAATTATGGAATAGTCCACACCAGTGTCCACTAAAGCGCTGACTTTGCGACCATCTAGCAGAACAGCAGTGTCTAGGGAAACTCTTCCACAATAGGCTGGTGATGTCATCGTCGATGTATTGTCGGTCGCATCAGTCCGTGTCGATAGGAGCAATTGAGCATGACTAGTCTGAGCTGCCTTGTCCTCGAAGGTCGCTGTGGCTAGTTTTCCTGACGCGGGCTAGGTGACCGGTCCGGCACCACGCCTGGACAGGTGCGATGATTAGGCGAGAACCACCGCTGTGATGGAGAACGTGAGTGGTGACGAGATGTCGATCGGCGCTGCTGGGTGACGTAGTCCGCAATTTCCGGAGGACGCTGACCGAACCTAGGTGGTGGAGAGTTGGCCGAAATACCCCGAAGTCTGAGCTCTCGATAAGTGCAATGTCGGTAGATGTGCCCAGGTTCGCCACAGTGAGAGCAAAGAGGACGTCGATCGGAGGCCCGCCACACGTCTGATTTTCACAAAAACAGTGTGTGGTTGCTCAGGTATGGGCCCGCTTGGAATGCCTGAACCATGGCTGGGGCCGTGGTGTGAAGTGGACTGAAATCTGGTGCAGGTTGCTGCAGAGTTTTGTCTGCCGGAATTATAGGAGGGGCCAGGATGGGAAGCGGAGCCAAAGGTGGTGCTGGCTGCAGCAGAGTTTCCGCATACGACATGCGAGGGAAGTGATTTATGGGCCGCGGCTCTGTCTGACAGGATCGCTCTCGTAGTGTTTGCTGACAGTTGGCGCCGAGGGTACTGATATCTTCTGCAGTTCTTCGCGGATTACAGAGCGTATCAGCTCTCGGTAGAAGTCGGCGTGGCCTCAAGACTACCCATATATTCCTTAGTGGAGGCAAAGTTGACTTTTCGCTCGTACGTCTGGGTACGTTGCCGAAGTGTGCTCTCAAATAGGATGGCTTCAGCAAGAAACTCTGACTTGGGTGGGCTGCGTACAAAACCACCGAGCAACTACACCTTCACCCCACGTGTCAGGATCAAACCTTATTCTCTTCCGGCAGGTGAGGGTCGGCTCATCGAAAAAGATGCGTCATGTCTTCAACATACATCGCTACGCCTTGATTTAGCATTTGCATACGGCACTGAAGTTCCCGCTCAGCTGGGTCTCGGCGATTGGAACTTGCGTACGTTTCCAGAAGCCGGCGTTTGAAGTCCTCCCATGACGTAAACACACTTGCCCGGTTTTCGTGCCAAACACGTGCCCCGTCATTGAAACTGAAGCAGACATGTCTGAGCTTGTCTCTGTAATCCACATGTTATGAGCGGCAATGTAGTCATAGTGAGCTAGCCAATCCTCAGCATCCATATGGGCAGCACCATGAAAGGGTTCGTGGTTTGAACAGCGCATAGCGCATTGGCATTGCACCTTCCATACCTGCGTTGGTGTCAGTGGGGATGGCGCTGTGTGGGATAATTAGAGCTGTCATCCTCTCAGGGAGGAGTCCGTACTCAGGGTCCAGTCCACAGATCTTTCGGCTAGCATGGTGAACAGGCGTAACCACCGGTATGGGGCTGGAGCTTTTTATACTGCGAGGGGTTCGGTGCATAGGGTACCCCACACCTTCACTAGTTTTCACGCACTAGGGGCTTGAAGAAACGTACAGGGAGACGCGACTGTCAAAATCTCAGAGGACAATAAGGATGCCCCTGGCTGGCATGGGCCGCTCGTCTTCGTCTTCTGCGTTCTCTGTCACAGAACTGGCTCACTGTTCACTATGGTCATATGTGCAGTAAAACCTAGTTCGTAGAGTAGCACGGTCCAAGGAGTTCATTTTGACTTTTTCAAAGAGTCTACCACTCAATACACCTACTTGTGGCACTCGTATTTCTTGAAAAAATATATGGGACAACACAGTGCCTACTTGAGCACGGAATATTGCAAACATTCTACTCCACACATTTAAGTGTGA